TGAAACCTGAGGCTTCGTGGACGCGCCAATCAACTGTTTCCATGGTTTTCTCACGCGCTCTGACATAGAAGGTTCCCTCATCACTGAATGAAGGGCAAAGACTTCATAGGTGACGAATTACTCCTTAATTTTGGCGAGTATTTCAGCGATAATTTGTAATTTCACATGTGAAATTACAAAATTGCCATGGCAACCTTCCGTACGTCTCAGTGTCAAGATGGCGACGAAGTTTTAAAATGTCATCAATGAAGATGCCAGGGCACAAAAAGACGCTTTAGAAAACCTGAACACACGAAAGAGCACATCAAGAAGGATTCTAACAGGTATTTTGTCGAAAAATTCTGAACCTTGAGGCGAATTTAAGCTCTAAACGTCCGAGAGAGTGGAGTTCTCGATCGATACGATCCATGATAAACATGTCACAAATCCAAAAATGATGATTTGGACAAAACGCGCGTGAAATTATTCCCTAATTTCACTCGTCACCAGTTGATTACACATACTAATTTTAATGACGACGGCGTTTTTAATTATTTCATTAAGATGAAGGATTACATTGTTAAAACAACGATGTTTCTGCGAGCTGAGTGAAATAGCCGAGACACTCACTCATAGTTTGCGTAAAGGTTTTATTAACTGTAGTAAAGCACGGGAGCCGTGGACGAATTGCCAAGGAGTAGAAATTCAAAGAAACGAAAGATATCACACCAAGGGAAAGAAGTTTCTTCTGAATGGAGGCTGTTTTCGAAAATGAATTTTGTAACCTGCAGATCTACTTATCATTCTTCATGTTATCGAATAGAATCCAGAACGACCAAGAACTCAGACGAGTTGCGAGCGTGTATCAAGAAAGCTTAATATGTGATTGTAACTTACAGTGTGTAAATAAGTCGATCATTTGAGTTTCCTCCGACACACACTCAACAATTTCGTACTCCTCGTAATCTTGACATAAAGCGGTGTCAGATCCTGTGGCAAAATATTCGGCCTACTCTGGGACCTAAACTCGCCTTAACTCGCCTTAACTCGCCCTAACTCGCCGCTTGCGATTATGTGCAAATTTCCTTATCTCGCCTTATCTCGCCTTAACTCGCCTAAACTCGCACAAACTCGCCTACTCTCGCCACTGCCAAGTGGATACCAATTTCAATGGGCGTGATCCATTTAACCAGACTTCAGACTGGTCCGACTGGAAGTGGTCCACCTGAAAGGTGGACCAGTTTTTTCGAAACTTTTCCAGTTGGACCGAACCGATCCATTGAGTTTTGTACCCAAATTTCCGGAAATTTTGGTTGAATGGATCGTGCCCAATACGTCATCCCACTCTCAGGATAATTTCACAATTAATCCACAAAGAGAAGACACCAAAAAAGAGGGATTTCAAAAATTATAAACAATAGAGATTTGTAAGTCCCATCCCTCTGGAATTTCCAATAGCCTCTGTGGTAAGGGTGTTTCACCACTAAGATGTGATGAGGGCTTGCTTAGTACTTAATGGACAGCCAATGGAACTACCAGGAAAACAACCTGAACATGCACAAACGTGTTACCTAACAAAAAGGCTACAATGCAAAGCATGGCAGAAATTCCAGAGGTATGTCACAGGGCCTAGAGAAACCCACACTGATTGCTAGTATTTTGGGCCACAAATTAAGTGACATTAAGTAAAAAATGAAACAATAAATTTACTTATACTTCCAAGCGAGACAAAACAATACAAAACTGTAATAACAGAATATATATATATATATTTTCTTTTAAGCTAGCTAGCTAATGATTTACAGTAAAGTTTGATGTTGTGGAAAATTTTAAAATTAAGCTACATTACTTTCCAAATGTATAATGTATGCAAGCTGTTTATGATAATGAAAAGCAGCAGCATAATTATCATCTTATAATCTGATGAAACTTAATGAGAATTCTAGCTGACAATGAAAGTCTGGGATGTAGCCAGAATCCTTCAAATACTCCACATACTGATGGCAGTCCATATTTCTTGATTATAAAGTTCTGGTACTAGAAGATCTGTGTATTGCTTTCACATGACATCCTGTTTGGCTTACAATGTAGTCAAGCTGGCGACCATAAGCCATGAATCATAAAGACTTGTTACATTTAGCCCGTTTTTGCATTGATAGCCAACTCCGTTCGCCATTTTTAAAATTACCCAGAAGATACTGGTAACTCTCCCAGGGCCCAGTCTACTGGCAAGTTTTAGGTGGGAAGCTTCAACGTGGCGTACATGACGTCAAAGCACATTACAACACGTCTAAGGCGGTGGCCATGTTTGAAGCAGGGAAGATTCATCACAAATGCGGAGAGTATTTCTGTTCATCAACTTATATGAGATATAGCTCTCGGCACAACTGTGAACACTTTTTCTCCAGCAGGATTGTCCAATGCAAGTTTAAGGAGGGAGTTTTTTAAAATACGGGAACTGCTGTCTTCGTGAAAAGGCTTCAATCTCCATTTGCAAGAGATTAAAATGGCATGGATTTATTCCGAGGAAACGAAAAGGCAATTGGTGTTTTCGTTTCTGGCAGTGAAACCAAACAGTTGGGCTGGATTCCAAAGGAAACCATTAGTGAAATGGAAAGGATGGGCCAAATGGGAGACTTAAAGATAAGTCTTATAACTTTCAAGGAGAAAGAATTTCATGTCATTTTAGTAAAATTGATTGTGTCATACAAATGTCCACATCTGAGCTGTAATTCGTAAGCTTCTCCGTTTTTTTATACTAGTTCTTTGAAGAACATTGACTCAGACTGTAAAAAACATTATTCTTTTATAATTCTGGAGTTAATGATAACAATTCATGCCATCATGTGATACCTATTATGTTAACTTGTCTAATTAAAACATAGTGTTATTGAATTAAAAAAATAAGTAAAATTAAATATCCCATCTGTGTTTGTACTACAATTACATCTATTCATGATTTTTTTGTGTACATTAGTTTCTTTTTTCACTAATTTATTATTCTGCCTTCTGCCAAATATTTATGCAGCTATAATAAATAATATATGATGATGACTACTTTTATTAGTAATAATAGTATTATACAGCCACCAAATGGTATAATTTGGTATCTGAATGCTATATAATAATTAATAAAAACCAGGCCTTGGTTATTCAAAGGTTGGATAGTGCTATCCAACGGATCAATCTCTATCCAGTGGATAGTGCAATTAGTTTTCCAAGTACTTATCCGCTGTATGGTGATTTATCATTTTGTTGAATAGCGCGATCCAATGCTTGAACAACCAGGGCAAGGACTCCATACTCCACTCGCCCAATTAGGAAAAAATGTTCAGTTACCGGTACTAACTTTAAATAAGATTTGGCTTCAGTCAACTTTGGAGCTCATCTAAAATTTTTTGTTGAATTGTTTTTTGTAATTGGGTAACATGGAGACTGTTAGGTATATATACATAAGACATACAAAGATTGCAAGGCACAAGGCATCTTTATATGTGTGTTACTAAAGCATGATATATGTGTTAACCCTTATCACCTCAACATTAGGTTGACCATTTTCCCTTAACTCGCCTTGACTCGCCTTATCTCGCCTTAACTCGCAACTGATAGGTGAGCTCAATTTTTCCTTATCTCGCCTTAACTCGCCTAAACTCGCATTAGCTCGCGCAATCTCGCGGCGAGTTAAGGTCCCAGAGTAGGCCTAATATTGCAGAAACGGCTTAAATGATCCGAAATGCCGAAATGTTCCTCCGAGTGCTCGAGAAACGGGAAAAGAATCTTAATTCTCTTGGCCAACGCGTGAAAACCATGCTAACCAGTTGATTGACGTCCACTAAACCGCAGGGCGCGTGTTGGTGGTGACCGCTGTAATTCGTCCTGCGGGCCGTATAAAATAGGAACAAGGACCTTTCGAAAGTCTAGGGTTCCCATGCATCCTTATATATGGTCAAGAGCCATGATATGGTATATTTTTTTAACCTAGTAACTTATATTTTTTCAGTCTTTAAATGTTTTTTAGTAAACAATTTTTTGTGCTTTCCTATCACGAAATATTGTCTCAAGGCGTCGTTTTGGTAACCTTATGGTGGCATCATCTGGGCAGCCATCTTTGATTTCTGTTTGAAAGTCCATGATCGTCAGTCTCTTTTGAATTGGACCTCGAACGTCAAAAGAGGAAAAAAACTTGGAAAGGAATAAATTAATTGAAAATTTAATTTTCATCATTTTACTAAGTTGAATAATAGCTTTGAGAAAAAAAATTAGCAGCGAACACTGTATCAGACGGATAATTTGCACTCAAATGGTAATTTTAATTTGCAAAATGTCGGTTATACTTTCTGAAATACCCGTCTCAGTTTCACCTTATTATAATCCCAATGTCTCTTTTATCTCTCTTTCAAGTTTCCAAAATTACGATCCGCAACTTGAAAAAAATTCTCCTGAAGTCTAGCCAACAGAATTGCATATTATGCATGGGAAATACAGTTGAGTTGAGTAGTTGCTGCTGTTGCTGCCTTTGTACGTGAATAGGGACCTTAAGATCCGACGACGGCGGATGTCTACGACGGCGAGCGGAAGTTGGAAATATTTGCCTGCGCATTTCCAGTAGCCGTCGCGTGAGGTTTCCCGCCTTAGCTGTGTTGTCTGAGACGTCAAAACGAAGTGTTTGCCGTCTTGTCTAAAACGTGAGTAAATTTCTCTTATTTTAAGGCCATTTCAAAGGAATTTATCGAACATTTTCAATTTGTAATGAAGTGACAATTTTTTACTAGCTTGTGACAATTGAAAATAGGTAGTAGAACTCGTTTAAAAGCGAAAATTGACTGGTTTCTTTCTCCTCCTAAACAGCTTCGAAAGTTCGTGTCTGCAAATAAGCCTCAGTGGAAATGATCTCAAAGAAAACAGTGCAGTAAGTAGTTGTCAACTCATTTTTCCTTCTTAATGAAAGCTAAACCATAAATTTAATTGAATAATTTACCCAAGTCTGTTTGAGCAAAAGTTTGTTGAAGGTAGATGTAATT